CATAAGCAGCCAACCTTGCAGCCTTCTTTACGGTAAAAAACGCAGAAAGTCCGATTAATAACCTCGAGGATATCGTGAGGTCTTCATATCTAGTAGGGGTTGTGCAGTCGTCAAGCACCTATGAAGCATTCAGAAGAGGTCAATACGAGACTTATCAAATGATCTGGCACCGAATTAAAGCGACAGGTGACGTGATAAAGAGTAATTGACAAGCTGCTAAGCTTGTGCGAGAAAGAGAAGAATACGTGTTTATCGCAGATGGGCCAGGACTCCGTCATGTCGCGAATCAACCACCATGCGATCTCACAGTTGGTGAATGATACAAGAGAACGTTGTCATAATGCTACTATTTGTGTCTTATGTTTTAAGTCGATCTTTTTCAAATACATGACCATGTGTGGTCTGGAGTAAGGTTTGCTCCTGACCACAATTTCTCTAGGCCCCTCTTTTTAAATTTTCTGGATTAGCCTCTCAAATATATTGTCGCACCTGTTAGTAAAAGGCAGTTCGTTGAGGTCCTCAGACTGGGGTTGAAAGATTCTAATTCAGTTATGTTGACACGTTTTTACTAGTTCCAGGTTTGACGACAGCTAAGGGACTTTCGTTGGCTTTACAAGCAAATGATCCGCACACTGCAGATTTCGCCGTGGCCATTTTACATCTTCACGAGAATAGCTTCCTGGAAACATTGGAACGAAAATGGTGGCATACCGAAAATAGATGTCCTAAGGAACAAGAGACGGGTAGGGGCAATCATTTCTGAATATTAATCATAATCTCATTTTAAACTGGGTTTCATATTTTTCCATTAGAACTCTATTTTCCTTGTTCCTTAAGAACATGAATCCTGTATGACCCGCATTTAGACAAGACCAGCACTATCGGCAGTGGCAATAAATAGATATTTTTTGCATTACTTGAATTGGATTGTACACGTTTACAATTATTTTAAAAATTTTTGTCTTCTCTTGTTGGAGCTCGCCAGTTAGCCCTGCACTCAGCCTCGATGTTGATAATAGCATATACCGACGACAAAACGTTATCGAAAAAAAAAACCTGATAGCCTAATCTTCAATTCTTCTTTGTTACAGCTTTGTCTCTTAAAGTATCGGCTTGCTGAGCATGCTGGGAGTTTATGTTGTCCTAGGTGTTGGTATCGTGGCAGCATTTCTGGCGCTGTTTGTAGAGATCTTCTGGAGTAGGAAAGGGAAACAAATCAACTCGTTGAAAGAAACCACAAGTTCTGTTACTCGCGAATGATAAAGAATTATAATTTATTTAACACGAGCTTACTGTTCATGTTCACGATAAAGACCAAGCAGACTTTTCCTTATTTTATTTTTCAGTAACTTTGAGTTTAACAAGAATTTTGATTCTTGAGTAGTGTCAAATGATTCAAACGGTTGGCAGGAAGTATTCCCAGGATCTAATCTGATGTATTTCGAAGACCCCTCTAGGAGTTATTCCTCTGTTACTAAAGATCGAAATTACATAATAAAATCAAAAGGAAAAAAAAAGCAAGGAAGAGATAATAGCACGAAACAACATAACTGGTACAAAAATTTATCTTGTATTTATTAGATATAATTGTCACATTTTTTTTTCTTGTTTCTTATCCTCAGGCCAAATATTAACTCTATTCAGGTCCGCCCGATAGAAAACTGATTGACTGGTCACTGACACTACTGTTTAGATTATTTAACTTTCGTGCATGTATTCCTTACTTTGAAGTATATCGATGATATGACATCCGACTACGGTTCCCATAAATGTATTATGCCAAATACGAGTTGACGTAAAAAAGGGAAGGACGCATCAAACTGGGGATCTAGAGATAGTAAAGTGAATACCTTTAGCAAGAGGTAGATTCGACCATTCTCGTATTTAAACAGCGTGTACTCATGTGCCTTGTTGGCATTTTAAATCTCGACTCGGGTTGTAAACTATTAACTGTCATCCTCAGATAAGATGTGAATACTCAGTTGTGAATTATAAATACTTGAATATCTTATTGCGTTTTCTTAAATAAGTCCATCCTCAAGTGTCTTCATAAGCTCTAAAAATGATGGACGCTTTGAAGGATCCAAACTCCAGCATGACTTCATAATATTGCGTCTACTAATAAAAGCAAAATATTTCAGTCTAATGAGTCCTCGTTACGAAACCATTTCAACAAACTGAATGTTTCTAAACTCAAAGATTATTAAAACTCGTCCTTCCATCAAATATGCGATAATTGCTTTCGCTTTAAAGTAGAATATGGAATTTTACCTTGACGCGATAAATACCCAGACATTTTCGTAAGTGCACCCTGAAGTTGGCCCAGTTTCACTTTAAAGTATTTGAGGCACTAAGAACTATTCGTGATAAGCTCTTACCTACTGACAGTTTATAACTTTGTGCCACCTCAACTCATTGAAATGAGATGCTTAAAAGTACGTTAACATTAGCACTAATGACCAAAACGATCCTCAAATTATTCAATTCAAATGAGCACTTTACCTTCAGATTCAATCACCCATAATAGTACTCCAAATGACTGCCAGTCAGAAAAAATTGCCAAACACAAATTTAGCTTTTGCTGGATTTGGACATTTTGAAATACAAGTAGATGACAACTCAACGAATAACATTTTTACATTAAGATCGTAACGGTTCCTTAAATGAAAGACAAAAACAACCGCGTTTATGTGAAGTAGATTCTGTAAAATTTCAACCTGGTTTCAGCGCCAATACTTCACAGGACATGAATTCATGGTGGTCTGTTGTGATAAGTGCATTTCGATCCGGCTATTGTTTCCATGTACCATGGTTTCCTCAGGCGTTCACTGATTTGTCGTGCGTCGTTGGTTTTGATGTTTTTTTATTGTAGGCATCCACGCTTCCGGTCAAGGACGGAGGGTAGCCGTTGGTGGCGAGAACTGTAGCTAGATGTTTCATTCTCTTGGGCTGTTCCTGATGGCTTAGTGATGGTACGTTTGGCCTGATCATGTAAACAATTGACAATACCGCGTTTAACTGATTGAGGTTGGCGTGAATCATACGCGAGGTACTGGTCGGTGTTTGTGGGTTTTCTGTATACACTTGTGAGCAGTTTGCCGTCTGGTTCCCTTGTTACGAGGGTCCATCTTACCAAATCCAGGAATCCAACACCAGAGAGGAAAACAGCAGAATTCAAGTCTACCGCAGTGCTGCCATACATCAGAGGAGTCTCACAAACCCTCCGTCGCTACCTACAGCAACAAGGAATACGCACCGTCTTTAAGTCCGACACCACACCAAGATCTCGGGTGGTCAGACCAAAAGATCCCGCTGACCCAAACAAGCAAGATGGCGTAGTCTACAAGATACCATGCACCTGCGGCAAAGTCTACCTCGGGAAACAAGACGACCTATGCGAGACAGAATGAAAGAATACGACAGGGATATACGACTCACGCACTCAGAATTCCGCGGTTTCAAAACCACAAGCCGCTGTAAAACGAAGTAAAGCTTATTGACCGGGCCAGCCATTGGTACACAAGGAAAGTGAAAGAGGCAATTCATATAAGACTCAACCAAAACAACTTAAACAGGGATAACGGAGCCGCAATACCGGAAGCGTGGTTGCCTACAAAAAGAAAACATCAAAACCAAAGACGCATGAAAAATCATCGAACGCCTGAGGAAACCATGGTGCATGGAAACAATGGCCAGATCGAAATGCATTAATCACAACAGTCCACCATGATACATAATGCTGTGCCGCAATCATGTAGTCGACCCCGTCGCCTGAAGGAGACTTGCAGTAAGCAGTCGAAACGTTGCATTCTACATCTAGTGACTTTGTCGTGAGACAACAGAACAGTTCAAATCTTCATTTCCAGATCGTTATTTTCACGACTGTGATCTTCCCTATGCTGCTCAAAGACTAAGCCACTGTTTTACACATCGAAATTAGCCATCATAATTTCCAAGATGGCAAAAGCGCCAGTTTTCAAGAAATGAGGCGCTTCCATATAATGCTGGTTGCTGGTAAAAGCACGTCAGCTAACACAAGGATTGATTAAGACGAAGAAAGTACTTCATACTGGACAAGTAAGGCTATAGCTGAATGATGAATGAATACACAAGAACACAACAACTGTGATGTAGCAATGATATTATATACAAGTTTAACGATGATCGCATTAAAACTTATGGTAACCAAAGAATGACTATAGCGTCCTAAAACGTCTCTGAACAAATGTCTCACTTACGTCTCTGAACAAAACCGTTGCTATGATGTGCAAGACGTCACATCCGGCATAGATAAAAAACCAATAAAACTGTCAACGTTCCAGTCACTGCAGAAACAGTATATTTATATTTAAGATGCTTTGAGCCTGCGCAGTTTTATCGGAGCTCAAACAGGGTCAAATGAATTGCCCTTGTGGCTGAGTGAGTTGCTTTTCCAGAAGAAGACAAAAGACTCACTTGAACAAAGGGAGAGACTAATTTGACTTTTAAAGTAAGAAAAACTGAATAGAGAGGGAAGGTTACCTAGGAAATTGTGGTGCGTCGGTGGGAGAGTATAACACAATAATTTGGTTTAATCGACAGAGTTGATAATGTAAATTGGCCACAGTAAAGAGTTTCAAAGCTGACGTTTCGAGCGTTAGTCCTTTTGTCAGAGCGAGTGGCGAGGGGTTAACGCTCGAAAAGTTGGCTCTGTCTTTTTCGGGACTTATTAACATTTTTTTACTTCTGCGTGCAAATGATAAATGGTAAAACCATTTAAAAAGTATCCTTAGGAGCTTTTAGCAAAGTCGATCAAACCTCTAAGGGACCGCTAAATGAGCTATTTTGCATAGTTTTCCATGAGTATGTCACATAAAAGACAGATATAAATGAGTGCGTTAGTTTGCTTCTGACAAGCTCAGCACAGAAGAGAATGCAGGCAAATAGTTTTCGGAATTTCCGCCTCTACGCTGACCGACTCCCTCGTTAGCTTGTGTCATTTGTTTTGTAACTGAAGCATGTCGTAAGAGGAAGTCCATATTACTCGCTTGACTAATTATTGAATATCATCATTCTTAACTCAAGCTTTCGGGCTGAAAATCATAGGAAAGTTTCAGTGAGCGGAGCCAAAGAGGTCAAAGCTTTTTTAAAGGAAAATAGCAGTCAGGAAAAAGGTACACCATTTCGCGAGTGATTTTCACCGTGACAAGCATGCAAGCAAAAAGCAACTCGAATACTTTGTTGTAGGAGAAATGAATTTGCATGAATTACTTCTCTCGTTTCTCTCGTTTTAGAAGACTATGAACTTCAGAAATCTCGAAAAGAGTGACAGATTTTGACAGCGCATTCGCATTAACATATATATTCGCAAGATACCATTTGCATTCAGTTTACTCACAACTACGTGCTTGTCCTACTTTAACAGAAACGTCATGTCACGCCATGGCGCACTGATTATGAAACATGATGCTTTGATAGAGTTGTGTTTATCACGTTGCCTTGAGAGGTACTAGAAGTATTACATGTTTCAGAGAATGGTAAGCGACAGAAACTTTACTTAGTGGGCAGTATTGTAGGATATCATTCTCGTAGCTAGGGCCAAAAATCAAGAATCAAAAATGGCCCTGAGAACAACTATGTTTGAACAAATGAGTTTGGTCTAATCTGTAGCGGTGACTGTATTTTAAGTTTATTTTTCCATCGTAACGGGGGACGAACTGTTTTTTCGGGATACCGATGCCTTGAGAGAAAGTAAATCCAGTGATACTTGTATACTGGAGAAGAATATGTTGGGTTATTAGGAGGATGTTTATGCGGATGATATCCACTAAATTACAGAATTCAACCGACTAAGGGTAACAAAATACAGTACAATTTGATACTATCTGATATACAATCATGTCTTTCTGCATATCGAGTTTAATCACTCCCTTTTAGTTTGTTAGGAGTTTTTATAAGATCAACCTTCTTGTATCAAAGTTATTGACTGTTAAGCGAATCAATTTTCGTATTCATCTTTACATCTAGATATTAGATTGAAGTTCTTGCACTGGTAACCAACATTACAGCATAGAAATGACTGAAGTCTGGACCATAGTTGTTCTTACCTTCTTGAGCGCCAACTTGGCTCGTTACGGTTTGTAGAAAAAGTTACTTTCGTTTTTGTTTCAGACGTTATGCTCAAAGCCGAATGAAAATGCATGATAGTAACATTTTACTCTTTGAGGGGAAAGATAATGACGGAAAGCTATACATGGCAAATGGATTTCTACAACGTTTAAGCGCGAGACAGAATCCTTGTCAGCTAGAATCCGTAGGACTACCACAAAAATGTGTCATCATCATGCATTTCGGTTTCCTTGGGCTTTGCTGCTATTTTAAGAATTATTCAGTATTGTAAGAGAGCTCTCCGAAGCACAGAATAAAAAGAGTCAGGCATCTGACACTTTGCCGGCTTACAATAATTTTCACCTAGTTTAAATATTAACATGAAGGCGAGTCTTAAATGAAACTTGTTTTTTTTTTTTTTTAATTTTGATTTTCTCTTGAACAGATTTTTCTGACACAAAAGCTTTTCGAGCCAACCAGGAAAAAGTAAATTACACCGAGGCAGATAAAGCATGCAGATCAAAAGACCACAGAAGTCATCTTGCAAAAATCAAAACCATCGAAGACCTTCAGATGGCTAAAAATGTATCAAATACCACTAACGGCATCAAGTATTGGACGGGTCTCAACATCTGGTGAATATAATTTTCCAGGGAGTACTCACACGACTTTGTTCAGTCCTTCATCACAATTTATGACTGTGGTGGTCTTGAAATGAATAACCTATCAGTTATTATAATTTTTTTTTGTATTTGTTGGCGCTACTTAATCGGTTTTGGATACGTTTGTTACAGGAATGGTAGCTTGAAATGGAGTGATGGAAAGACGGCTGGTGAACAGCTTGTGAAAATTGTGAAAAATTATAACAACACAGAAGCTATGTCTAAGGAACCCAAGATGGTCTGTTGTACTGTAACCCATGATGTACTTCTGGAGTGTACTAACTGTAGTGAGGAGCACGCCTTTCTATGTGAAGACTTACAAGGTGACACGTAAAGTGCATAATGAAAATTTGCTTACGAAGCCTGGTAACAAATTTGCACGAAAGCGAGGTCCGTCGGGCCATTGTGTTTTTCTTTCTTCGGACGCTTTTACCTTGGTTAACACAAAATGAGCTCGGTTTCAAACAATATAAAGCTTTCAGACGCAGATATTCCTAGTTCATCACTAAGTGGGAGAGCTCCAGCTAATTTAAAGTAGAAGAACTAAAAAATTCTGGCTAAAATGGAGAGGAGATCCCGCCAAAGGTCTAAAGACGAAAGCCCAACTTGTTAAAAGGTAAGACAACAACAATTGAACCTACTTTTAAAGTGTCAAGAAGCTCATTGATATTATTGGCCATGAAAGAAAAGAAAAGTCCTAAAATGTTCTAATCGATCCAAAGAGATATTGAATTAAGATTGTAAAGTTATAGGTCGCTCAGACTCGATCGTCTTCGATTGAAATTGCTTTCCGCACCTCGTTCGATACTTGAAATTGCATACTACACCTCGTTCGATATTAGAACATATGAATGTTGGATCAACATATAAAAACACTTGAAATTTCTCTCGTTTAATATAAAGTGTAGAAGAGTATAGCAAGGCTGGAAAAGACACAAATTTTGTGGATCCAGACGGAAATAAAGTCTATTCGAAGCGTAAATGTTTATACATTTCATATTTAATTTAATTTCGTATCGAATGAGGTGCGGAACGCAATTTCAATCGAAGACGATCGAGTCTGAGCGACCTATAACTTTACAATCTGAATTCAATCTCTCTTTGGATCGATTAGAACATTTTAAGGCTTTTCTTTTCTTTCATGGCCAATTAATAATATCAATGAGCTTCTTGACAATATAAAAGTAGATTCAACTGTTTTTGTCTTACCTTTTCACAAGTTGGGCTTTCGTCTTTTGACCTTTGGCGGGATCTCATCTGCATTTTAACCAGAATTTTAGTTCTTGTACTTTTAAATTAACTGGAGCTCTCCCACTTAGTGATGAACCGGGAATATCTGCTTCTGTAAGCTTTAGATTGTTTGAAACCGAGCTCATTTTGTGTTAACCAAGGTAAAAGCCTCCGAAGGAAGAATAACACAGTGGCCCGACTGACCTCGCTTTCGTGCAAACTTTTTACCAGGCTTCTTAAGCAAATTTTCATTATGCATAGCGTCTATAGCTCAGCATTTTATTTAAAACGGAAGGAATACATTATCGATTGTTTTACCATCTACAGAAAACGTTTGGCGGCATCACTATCAATAAAACTTGGTTGCGCTAATAAATGAGATCTATGTCCCTTTTTCTCTGAAATCAATTTATGGCAAACATTATTATCATTATCATCATTATAATAATTTTTTTTCTCTTACCGGTAAACAGATAATATCTTGCCTCAAGTGGATTCTAATGCTAGGTTGGTATGCTTAACAATCCATTAAGGTGCTTAAGTCTCCTTAGTAAACTAATTCTCCTGTACATCATTTATTTTCAATTTTATTAATTTCTTTATTCATTGTCCTCCAACGTTTCATTCATTTTCATGCTATACATTATTTCCTTTTACTGTTTCAATATATTTAGCTGCATCCCAGCGCTTCCTCAAGTGAACGCCTCCGCCAAAAACGCTTCCTGTATATTCTACGAATATAAAGGCGAGTTTTGCAAGGATATAATCACAAGTCTGTACATTTATGGTAACCAAAGTACATTGAAGTTCGGAGAAGTGGAAACTGAGACGTTCAAGACCTATTTTGAATGGTTTGACATCTCAGAAAAATGCCAACCTATAATCAAAGATTTATATTGTCGCTATCACTTCCCGCCGTGTGATGAGACGCTGGGCGAACCTAAAGATCGAGGGCTTTGTCGCAGGTCATGCAAGTATTTAATGGACGATGTTTGTAAAAAAGAAGCGGATGTTCTTAAAAAAGCAGTGACGACGTCCCCAGATATCGACTCAAAAATGATTAATTGCTCTTATTACAAACCAGCAAATGGTGGAGATGCCCCTGAGTGCTACGAGTGGCCTGATATCCCTGGTGCGTGTTTCATAGCTATTTTTTAATCCTTTATCGAAGGGACTGGTCATTATTTATCACTTTATCCTGGGATGAGAAAGGGTGGGGAGGGGGGAGGTTTGCCTGGTCCTTCCTTAAGGGTCTTTAATATTCTTATGATTCCGTCCACTTTAACAGTTAATTTTCTGTGGTATAATTGCTGGGTGACAATAGAGATGCACGGGCTCTGATGGGTGGCGATTGCGTCATATTGAACGATTATATGCCACAGGCTCAATGAATATTGTTGAATAGTCCCCAAAACGACTAATTATTTCAGTGCAATTGCTAAAGTGCTTTCGAATTCTGTTGTAATATTCGTTTCGATATTAGGACAGTTCTAGTAACTGGTATTGAGATATAGAGCCAGTCACTGACAAAACGCAAGGCAGCCAGTTTAGAATTAAGCTCTCCTGCTATAGTCACCTCGCGCATGATAGGACGCAACCTTCGACAAATCAGAGCGCGTGCATTTCTATAATCACTGGAGCCATTATACTTACTCGCTACAATCACCTCGAGCAAAGTGATTATACAGGGGGTGCTAAAATTTTATAATGGCTGCCTTGCGTTTAATCAACTTGACGTTACGCAGGATATGGTATATTCTTTTGGCTACCGATACTCCCTACCGTTTTCCCTAAATTCCATGTGAACCCCCTCAAAATCCTTCCTCGCAGAGTTGATAAACGGTTTCCAATGTTATGTACTCAGTGATCTGTACACGCGTGTTTGTTGATGGGTGCCTTTTTCTCTATATAAATCTTTTTAATCCAATGTTTCAATGATAAGCTTGTCGCAATAATTTTTTCCTTCTCTTGCAGGTGACGAGACAAACAGCACAGGTGTGTCATTCATCTACTGTTCTTAAATGCCATGCGATAATGGAGAACTCCCGAGCAGACAATGCTCATGGCTTGAGCTTCTTGAAAAACTTACAGTTTACACCTCCCATACTCGAAAATCAATTGAATAAAAATTCTTTAGCTGGAAGTTTTTGGTGATGGTGTTTTTGGTAGAGAAATTTGGAGGCGCAAAGTAATAACGCGCTTTGTAGAATAACCTCCTTTAAAGAATCGCTGTCGAACTGAGGCTGCAGTTTACAGTCTCCTGATATTCGTTCCTCAACTTCCGAGTGATATCAAATATTACATTATCTTTCAGTTTTTAAATATATTCTCTGTGCGGCATTTCAGTTGACGTCATAAGTGCGTTTTATATCTCTAAGATTGTTACTATGGAGTGGGAGTTGGTTACCATGGTAATGTGAACATCACCCGGTCTGGTCGTACATGTCAGTCTTGGAAATCCCAGTGTCCTCATCGTCACTGGCGGATTCCTAAAGATGTTGCTGATTCCAAAAATGACTCAAACATGTGTCGTAACCCGGACAGCAGTGCCCCGGTTGGACCCTGGTGTTATACCACTGACCCAAATGTTCGATGGGAATATTGCAACGTATCTCGATGTCCTCCAAGAGGTAAAGTTAGCCGCCACTGAAGAAGATAAAAAAAAACTCGAGAGATATGTGCAATAGATTCACTGGTTATTGAACATTTGCTGTTTCCAACGTATAAACGCAAAAACTTAAAAATATATTTAATTAGGGTATCCTTCAATCTGTGCGAAATATCATGCATATTAAATATCATGCATATCATGTTATGACAAAAAATCACCTGAGATATTTAAGAAAGAAGAAAACAAAGGAATGAACTATCGTTATATGTTAAAACGCCAAGATTTTCACAATTCTTGTAAATATTCTACATTCTTTAGAAAAACCGCCACCGCCAAGAGACTTCGCAGTAAAGAATGTGCAGGCAACTTATTTAATCTTGACTTGGAGGGAGCCCGAAAATACCAGCATTCACCAAATACAAAGCTATACGATAGAAAGAAAGACATCAAGATCGAAAAACTTTACAGTAGTGAAGATAGTTCAGCATCCTGAGTCCAGAATGGTTATGGAAAATTTGGAACCCGCTACCGAATACACCATTAGATTATCAAGCAGCAATGTGTATAGAAAGTCATCAGATGGTGTTTTGTTAACACAGAGCACACTACCAAGTAATCATGACAACAACTCTGGATTTTTCTAAAAACTTTGAAACTGATGTGAAATACAAAATATTTTCAGATTATCTTACGTCTCAGAGCTGTTAAACATGTGACATGTGCCCTTTAATCTTAGTTTTCAAAATCATGTTTAAAAGCTTCTATAACAAAATTTAAGACCTCGGTATAAACCTCTTCTTACAAAATATCATCTAACTCTGGATTCTTTATAATCTAAAGAATCCTTCGCGGTTTAGTTTTTTACATTTGAGCACCGCTTTCTTTTTTTTTTGGAAATAAAAAGCCACATTTTATACCTCCGATCTCGACTTTCTTAGCTGCTTCAAAACGTAGCTAGTAGAAACCAATCCTTTTTGTCTTTATCTTTCAGACAGGTTTATTATGAATTTAATGCTGATCATAGTTTTGCCCCTGGGCATAGCATTTATATTCATCGTGACTGTTTGCGTCAAGTTTGGATCAAATGGCAATTCAAGGCCAAACAAAGTTTATGATGAGGTAGGTGTGTTCAATAATTAGAAAAGGATTGAGTCTATGAAAATAATTTACCTGTTTTTCCCGTAGGCAGCTGAGATTTCCATTGGTCGCAACTGGGTTGAGATTCGCAGATCAGATGTCACCCTTCAAGACAAGCTGGGGGAAGGTGCGTTTGGAGAAGTGTTTAAAGGCGTCGTGCGCCTAAAAGGAAAATCTAGGGCATGCGCAATAAAGAAACTCAAAGGTAAAGATTTTAATAGTGTACTGATATTAACTGGACGTGGATCAACAGGTTAATCGGATGATTATATCGTTGTTTATTTGTTTAACGGACCGATTTACTGATTTTTTGATTCATTGATTGACTGGCTCTCTGATTGATTGGCTGACGAACTGTCTGTTTGATCGACTGACAACCCACTTCACTGATAGGTTGATTGATTGCTTGACTAGCTGTCTGGTTGATTGACTGACGAACTGACTGTCTGACTGATCAACTGACCTCCTACTCCACCTACGATTGATTGATTGATTTACTGACATTAATCACGCAGGAGCGTTAGAATAATTAATACAGAGGAAATTCCATTTCAGAAAATACTTCAGAAAAAGAGAGGGAAGACTTACTCAACGAGCTTCAAATCCTGGTCACAGTTGGTGAACATCCTAATATCATAAGTCTTATTGGAGCTTGTACCAAGTCTGGTAATTATCGCAGAGAATTTTTGTTTCCGTGGCTTTTGCATTTGTATAATGTTCTACATTTGCTGAACAGCTTCTTAGACTTTTGGCCTTCTGTTTGTCTTTCTTATGACATACTATCAAATAAATTTGTTAAACAGCACAAATAATTCAATTGTTAACTCTCTTTTCTCGACGAGATGTCTCTTCTCTTTTGAATATTTTATAAAAAAGGAGCAATACAAATAATAATAAATGTTATAAAAATTTCTTCCTCTTACATTTTCTTTCTGATTAAATACTTAGGATTAATTTGGGTGATTGTTAGTTTGGCTCCAAATGGCTGTTTGCTAAACGAACTAAAGAAGAATAGAGAAAATCCATACTACAATGATATGAGAAAACCTGTCGGATTTACACGCGTCGACAAAGTGAAGATTGCCAGAGACGTCGCCTGTGGAATGTCTTACCTCGCCAGCAAAAAGGTATTTGTGATACTGAGAATTTCTAATAGATCTTAAGGAGCCTATTTAATTATTCCCATTTGGTTTTCTTTGGTAGTGTGTTCATCGTGACCTTGCGGCAAGAAACGTTCTTCTGGGTGACGGGAATGTTGCAATGGTTTCTGACTTCGGCTTGTCGCGTGATGTGTACGAAAGTGGTGAATACGAGTCTTTGTCCAGGGTATGACCAGTTTATTTGAAGTTGAGAAAATGGGGAGGGGAATGGTAGAAGTTATGGTTTTTCAACAAAGATTGCATCGCAATCTTTCCTCGTCACTTCGAAGCGTCCTCCTTGTATTTCCTTTTAGGGTATTCATGAATGATAGCCTATAATTTACTCATTCAAGTCAACTTTGGCAGTCCATCTAATCAGAATTAACATAGATATTTTAGCATCCTGAAATCAATTTGTTACCCTCCCCCCCCTGCAGCAACTTTATCACCGTCGTTATAGGTCAAATTATCTATACACAGAAATTACAAACTTTGATTGTTTGATTGTATCAATTTTCACACTAGCTTAGCGCACTAAAGGTAAACCTTTCCAATTTCTCCCAAAAACTAGGGAATGTTACCAGTTCGTTGGATGGCTCTTGAGTCTTTGGATTTCTTCACATTCAACACGAAGACAGACGTGTAAGACATAAGTTGAAAAATCTTGTGAGAGCGAGTACATTTCGTGGTCAGTGGACACGAGTGACGTTTCAGACAGTTCCCTTATTGCACGAACCGTAAGCGTGCAATTTTAGAATCAATTTTAACAGTGGCAACAGAGCACGAAATGTACTCAATAATGATAATAATAATAATAACACCTTTATTTAGACACGATAATGTTTAAAGCTGAACAGCTTGTGGGGTCGTGTGTAAATCCAAATAAACTCTAAATTAAATAAATTCAAAGGATGATGGTTTTTGAGGAGAGGGGAAACCGGAGTACCCGGAGAAAAACCTCTTGGAGCAGAGCAGAGAACCAACAAACTCAATCCACTTATGACGCCGGGTCTGGGAATCGAACCCGGGAAGATGGAAGGCGAGCACTCTCACCATCACGCCAACCCTGCTCCCTACTCGTAGTTGTCTTTAATAGTAATAATAATAATAATAATAATAATAATAATA